AGTGTGACCAAGTGCAAGGTGATGCACATCGGAGCCAAAAATCTTAACTATAAATACACATTGATGGGGTCCGAACTGGCAGAGACTGACCAAGAGAGAGATCTTGGAGTCGTAATAGATAACTCAATGAAAATGTCGAGACAGTGTGTGACTGCAATAAAAAGCCAATGCTATGCTGGGGATTATTAGGAAGGTAACTCAAAACAGATCAGCCAATATCATAATGCCCCTATATAAATCAATGGTGCAACCTCATTTGGAATACAGTGTACAGTTCTGGTCACCGTACGTCAAAAAAGATATTGTAGCATTGGAAAAAGTGCAGAAAAGGAAAGGGCAACTCGAATGATAAAAGGGTTGGAACACTTTCCCTATGAAGAAAGGTTAAAGCGCTTGGGGCTCTTTAGCTTGGAGAAACGACGGCTGAGGGGGGACATGATCGAGGTTTCTAAGATTTTGCATGGGATAGAGCAGGTAGAAAAAGAGGTACTTTTCTCCCTGTCTCAATACAAGAACTCGTGGGCACTCAATGAAATTGCTGAGCGGTCGGGTTAGAACGGATAAAAGGAAGTACTTCTTCACCCAAAGAGTGATTAACACATGGAATTCACTGCCACAGGAGGTGGTGGCGGCTACAAGCATGGACGGCTTCAAGAGGGAATTAGATAAATATATGGAGCAGAGGTCTATCAGTGGCTATTAGCCACAAGGTTTGGATAGGGACTCTGGGGCAGGTGATGCTCTGTATTCTTGGTGCTTGGGGGGGTCAACAGTGGGTGGGCTTCTAGTGTCCTGGCCCCACTGGTGGACCTCCTGATGACACCTGGTATTTCTGGCCACTATGTGAGAGTGTTGGACTGGATGGGCCTTTGGCCTGATCTAACATTGGCTTCTCTTATGTTCTTATGAAGAGACATCCAATATGAATTACAACCCGCTGAATTTCACCAGGTGCATTGCGTCATAATAATAATGTTAGTTAATCCTATTCTGCCTCACAGATACATTACTGAGGCAAGTCAGTATATTCCTGTTCAGCCAAACACAGTGAAGAAAAGGGCACTAAGGGCAACCAGCGCCCCTATATTATATATACTAAAGAAAAACCACTCAGTCTAAAATCAACATATAGTGGGGAAAAGCTGTGGAGACCTTAGCTCTATCAAGCTACTACAATCAGAAAGAGAATAAGATTCAGTGCTCTAAACACAGACACGCTAAATGGCCGCCATGTGAAATTGCACTTCTCTGTGGTGGCTGGAGAGAACAGTCCCCACTGGGGAGAAAGGCCGGGTATAAATGAAGTAAACAAAGTAAACAGTGAGCCATTTTTGTGCAGTTGCTTTCCATGCAATTCTCCACAGAACAAAAAACGCCCACAGGAAAGATATACAGGATTCGGAGCAGGCTCGGTGAGCTGTTCCATCTGAACACTTCACTGTGTGAAGCAGCTGTTACAGGATGCAGTTTCAATATTTGCACATGGCGGCCATCTAAAGCAAAGCAAGTCAAAAAAATTAAAATAAATAAAGCAAAGCAAGTCTTTAAGACATGAGTCAAAAAACAAAAGTCGCTTGTGGGCGCTACAATGGATCCAAATCCTTTCGACAGCTGAGGCCACAAGAGAAAATTGATAGCAAAGAATAACCTAGCGGTATACATTTAGTAAAAGATTGAATTTATAGTCAGTACTTTCTCCAGTCACAGCAAATTACATTGTTTAAAGTGAACAAGCATGCTATAGTGGAAAAAATCCTTCCCACCCCAGTATATTATATACCACTTGGGCTATGTCACATCCAGAAAAGAAATACATCTTAATTAACATTCTTAAAATTGTCACCCTTTGAAATCTTCATGAAACTTTTTATACCATGAGAAAAAATAACTCAGAACATGTCTGCCACATGAATAAGCCTATCAATTATGAAAGCTGCAATGTGTCTAAATTGTGGACTTCTGTGGTACTTAGCATTAAAAATCTCTCAAATGTGTACTCCATCCTTCCTTCATGGCGCTCAGGTCAGCATTCAAGGGGTTGTCTCACTTCATCCTCAAACCTGTGAGGTAATTTAAACTGAGTGAGTTGCCCAAAGTTATTCACTAAACTTGGTGGCTGAGGGAGAATTTGAATCCATGACTCCCCTTATCCAAATCCAAAATGCTATCAATTACACCACATTGGCTCTATATCGTGTTACGATCATTGACCAGGATCTAAAGAATCACTAGTTCTGCAAGCCCAACCAAGCTTTAAACTGTTTGCTTTAGCAGCGGCCCCTAACCTACCCCATGTTATGTGAAACATTGTTTTTGAGACTGAGTAGGCTTTCAGAACAGTTTTTGAGAAAGCATGGGAATAAGTTTTTCAAATAAAACAATTAACAGTTGCACTGAGCTAATGCAAGCCCAGTATGTCAGCTCTTTTCAGTTCCTAAACCAGGAAGAGAATCTTGCTTCTCCTCTTACCTGTCAGATTTATCTACAGCAAGTAACCAGGCTTCTCTGTCACAGGCTCTAGGCTTTTCATACGCCTATGTAAAGCCCTATGTGGGATAGGAAGGAAATACTGTTCTTTACTCTTGAGTATGCCACTCTGAAGACTGTTGTGAATGGTAATTATAGAGAAATCTACAGAAAACTTGGCCAACAAATGGAACAAAGGTCAATGTAAGACAGGGCCTGTTAACACTAACAAATTCAGATAAATACTCCTACTACTGAAAAGATAGCAAATCTTTAAAAGTCCACTGCAAATCATGTTTGGCACCTCTGCATGGAATAAAAGCAACCTCTGGATATCATGCATAATACACTTTAAGATTTACTACAGTGAAGAGTAGTGTGTTGGTTTCCAAACATGGTGTTCTCTTTTATCATTTTATAAGTGACTACTCTGTGGTTTATTTTTAGGCCTGAATTACTTTACAACAGTATAAGTCTTTTTCCATATAAGACTTACTGCTGAAATAACCCAGAGTCCCATCAACAAGTAGACAGCTTACAAAAAAATATTGCTTTTGCTCACACTGTGGTGGTGGTGGAAAGTGCTGTCAAGTCGCAGCCAACTTATGGCGCCCCCATAGAGTTTTCAAGGCAGGAGACATTCAGAAGTGGTTTGCCATTACCAGCCTCTGTGTAGCAACCATGGACCTCCTTGGCGGTCTACCATCCAAATATGTTTAAAGCAATTTTTTGCTATCAGAATCAACAAGTGAGAACCCCCAAGGACTTGCGGGAGATATCTCATTTCCCCCTCCCTCCTCTTTCTTTTCCACGAAAGCCCCCATAGCCTTTCCTCTTGATTTCTTCTCTGCTTCCCACCAACAGCAAACCTACATTTATCTGACCCTTTGTCTCCAGCTTGCCTTCTCCTCCCACCAGCTGACTTGACCTAGGAAATCTGTGGCCAGTTGTATGGTGCTGGCCACTGGGCCAGGCCCATGATCATGGTAGCCAACTCTCAGGTACCTGTAGGGGGCACCTCACTTTCCCCTGCATTGGAGCTCCCCATCCTCATCAATAAGCATGGGGGGACAAGATGCAGGCATGTGCTATTGAATAGCCAGTAGTGTTTGTTACAAGCTACCTACCTCATTAGTTGCCACTGGCTTGTGAGATGAAACAAAACTCTCTACCCACATAGATTTTACAACTTTTAAAGATAAATTTTTGTAATGCTTTACAATCAGCATTGTACTCCCTCACTGTACCAAAAACATGCATATACCCACTACACCTTTATAAAGAAACTAACAAAAACAGAGGCAAAGCCACTATTCTCTTATACAGCATAATTTTATGAGCATCTGTTTATTATACTCTTTGAAAATTGTACACTCTGGTGCTGAAGTGTACATCCCTATCTTGCTTCTTCTTTTTAAAGAAGGAGTGGAAATACAAACTTCACCATAGCATAAACTTCTTCTCCAGTCCCACTCTCCAGTAATGCATGGATTGGAAATTGCACAATTGCCTTTAAGTACTTGAGGGGCAACTGCAGAAGGGCTTCATTATGCACTGAATTATTATCTGGCTAAACCCTTAGAAGACCCAAAAGAATGTGCTCTGTGGGCACACTGGAGGTTCTCTAATTATTATTTTTTTAAAATTTCAGACCATGGTACATTGGCAGCCATGCCTAAAATTCTACTGAGTTTGGGAGAGACTCATTAGGCAATGTGGGAGAGTCTCATTCGGCAATGTGAGAAGGTTAGAAGGATCTCCGAACACTGCTGCATGCAAATAACTTACTATGGGCCACCCTAGACCCCAGCCTAAATATGTATCTGGCCAATATACATATGGTTTCTGAAGGGATTTCTACTATCTTCTACTGTTTGTACCCAACACAGGGTTTTTTCCAGTCCTTCCACAATTTGCACTCCACTTACAGGGTTTTAAATAGAACATAACAAACACCACTGATAGCTAGATGTCTAGGCATGTGTAAAACAGAATAAGAGCCAATAAGTTTAGTAATCTCTACTCACACAAACTTATTTTGCTTTTCTCTCAGTATATGAACTTCACACACTCAGGGTGCGTATATAGCTATGTACAATTATCATTGTTTTTGCTCTTTTTTACAGCACAAGGCCTACCTACAAGTAGAAAAAACTGTGATCCATATGATACTGTAGGTACTGTAAAGTACACAAGACACATGGACCCATTCCTGATAAAGTCAGACATGCATATATTTCATTGAAACACAGGACAAATTAGTCAAAACTGAAGTCTCATCACCTTCAATGAGACATACAGTCTAATCCTATGCATGTTTATTTTACAATACACTCATCTACATTCAAGAAAGTGTGATTAATGTTCTCTAGATCAGAACCAAAAAGTAACTAGACAAGGGGCAAGAATATGACCAGAAACCAAATAATTAAGAATTGTAATGGAGCTACACCAGTATAGATACAGACTATTCCTTTCTGTAAATATAAAGTATCAAGAACACCAACAAGTCAAAATACATAATTTGCACTTACCAGACCATTGCAGTTGCTTAATGCTACTTTAGTCGTACTGTGCTGATCATGTAAATATCCCATGTAATGACAGTTGTCTAAAAAGTCATGCTTCCACTGAGGTCCGTCTTTCCCCCAGTATTCTACTGTAAAGTGTTTGGAGACCAGATCTGTGTTGAGAGTCAGGTTTAAATGAAAGTGCTTGCCATAGGCAGAAAGTTTAAAAAATAATTTAGATACTGCCAGTTCTTGGTCATAATGTTCAGTACTCCTCTTCTTTCTCCGGGAGAGTTTAGTATTTTTCACAGTAAAGCTGAGGAAGGCTCCATTATGATCAACCCTTACTGGGATTGTTAGTTGGTAGTGTTCAAGGTAAGACAGGAATTCCTCTTTGAAACCACAAGGTAAATCAGTCCAAGATATGGGCATAAAAAAGAAGAAAATATAACACGACACAAGGAGTAGTACAACATTATCCACATTTTACTAAACCAAGCAATGCTAATCTGCCTTAAATAGAAATTCTGCTCATCTATTCCAAATTTGCTACATATTTTGCCAGCTCTACTCTACCATGTGCACATTCCAGGCTGCCACCAGCAGGACATAAGCAACTGCATATTTACCTGCCAGAAGAACAACTAATTTGAATGGAAATACTCACTTTATAAATACCTAAATGTGTAATCCAATACAAACTGATTTCAAGAGGCATAAATAAATTAAACCTTATGCTGGATTCCAGCACAGTGACTTGTTCCAGTGAGCGGCTAAGGACACACAAGATTCAATCTATATACAAATTTACCTTGCCAAACAAAAGGCTATTATATTAACTTCAATGAATGGCATTCATCTAAAAAGAGTAAGCCTGCTATCCCCATTGAAGTTAACAGGAGAAGTGAACCTGCACATAAAAATGTATGTATTGCAGTGCAGAGAAATCACAGATCACTGTGTTAATATACATTTACCTAAATACACATTTAGTAAGCAAGACATTTTTGGAGCATATGAATTATTCAAGTCACTCAATCATTTAACTGGGGGGATTTTATTATTTAATATATCAAAATATCCTCTTGACTTGCTAATAAAATAAGTACACCTTTTTAATTGTGCTGCCTCATAAAATAAACAAAAATCATAGTTCATGAGCAATATGTGACCTCTAACAATGACTGTTAACATCAGTTAAGGAAAACTGAGGAACCAAAATAAGCATCAAAGATATTCACTTAAAAAGTAGGATCCCTACCTTGAGAACTATATGAAAGCCTGTTGTCCCCGTGAAATTCTGACAAAACCATGTTTAAGCACAAAATCCAGGTCAACGTCTTCCACAAAATTTCCATAATTTGAAAGAAGTGGGGCTACCTATGTGCTACACCTTTAGCTCCACTCCAGAATTGCACCATAACCAATAATTTTTATTTCTTCAGGATTAGCTATTGGTGGTTCCACTTCTTGACAGATGTTTTGCAACAATCTGCTCTCTTTTCTATGTCTGCAGACATTTTCAGTCCAAAATATTTTAATTCCTTCACATGTCAATGAATTAAACTGAATAGCAACTGAACGTTGTCCATTTCTTTACCTGAAAAGCACAGAGAACATTATAAGTCAGTTCAGTAGAACGCTAAACAAACAGAAAATTTACTTGGTGCAATTTCATCCCACCTTTCCTCCAAGGAGCACAGGGCCACATAAATGCTTCTCCCCTCCTCCATCGTAGCCTCATAACAATGGTGTAAGATAGGTGAAGCTGAGAGAAAATGACTGTCCTGAGATCACCAAAAAAGGTAGGATAGGGTTTACACGAGCAACACTTTAACATTTTTGTTTTGCATAGGCGGTCCCTACATCATGCCTGTCACAGCCCATAACAGTCCACCCTATTGCAGCAAGAGGACAGCGCCTTATCATGGAGGCTACAGACTCTGCCAGATAGTGGATAGTCAAAAAGCTATGTTCCATATGCACTGAAGAGAAGAGAACCGGTTTAGAAAGGATCTCATCCTATCTTAACTTCCTGAAAGCTTCTGGAATGCAGTGTGGTGAATCCCTGATGTTCAGTAAGGTTCATACACAGACCCAAACAGAAGATCACCTCTCCATGTGAAGTGGTCTTTCCATCTGCTTATTCCCCCTAGAATGCCCTCCTCCCAGCAAGAGCATAAACTTGTCTGCCTGCCTTTCCAGATTCTGAAGAAAGGGTTTATTTAAGTTGCTAGTCCACGCTAGTTCCAGTGACAGATAGAAGAGGGATCCACAGGCACTCTGTACTAAGAGTTGCATTAGAAGAGACTATGCCTATAAGATCCCAGTTTTCTTGTGCCCATATATCATGCTTTTGAGTTTGCACTTGCATGGATAAGATCGTGGCCACATAAAAATGTTTGAGTTTTTTTATTTTGTAGAACAACCATCTCCTCTCCTGTATTCCTCTCCTATAGTGGTTCTTCTCTAACAGAGAGTGTTGGAAATCCAGTCCCTTCTCTCAAGATCAGAGGTCACAAATGCAGGTAGTTGTGCCCTATTCCAGTTGCTGGTCTATGGCAAATTCACATGGAACTGAAAAAGCATTAACAGAAAGACTGGGGATAGGAGAGGAAATGTATGCAAGCAAGTATTATATCATTTGCTTTGTAAATACCTTATGAAGTTATATGTTTGTTAAAGCATTCCTAAACCATTTGAATATTTCTACTCTGCAAATATAACATTTCATCCAATGCTAGCAGTAACTTTAGGATGCGCAAAAAACAACGCATAAGGAAGCAGTGATAGAAATTAGTGACTAGATACACATACGCATCATCAACGAAAAGTGGGGAAACTCTGACAGCGAGGGATAAGGAGTTTCACTACGTCCACAATTAGGGACACAGTAAAACCATCACCTAACAAACAGAAGGTTTATTTGTCAAGATGCCCACATAACAGGGCAAAGGATTTTTTTTTTTCAATACATGGTGAATATTAGTGGGAAGAAGATTTTTATACGTTCCCGGTGCCATTTCTCCCTTGAAAAATCATCATTTCCATTCTGCTGCCCTAGCTAGAGAAAAATACATGTAAATTTTCTCCAGTGGGGATAAAATGAACTTGGAGATAGCAATGTTTGAGGGGGAAATGGCACAAGACACTTCTAGAAATCATAGCACCACGGGTTGCAATCTGTTAAAAAAACATAAATCAAATATTTAATTTCATGCAACGAAATCTGGAAGCTTAAGTGCCAGCTGGGCACAACAGAGGTTAAACTGCAGGCTTTCAGCTACTCCTGGTATTTTCTTATTCAAACAATACAAACATCTGCTGACATCAGGGTTTTGTTTTTGGCAACCTATAGACTTGATTCTAATAACCTGCGAAAACATTCAGAAGAAAACACTGCTGCACTCACTTGCTTACATGCTTAAGTGAGCTCCAAGAAGACACCCTTAAATAAAAGCATGTGAATTAAGCCTATGGAAGCATCTTGAGGGTTTGTAGTTGGTTTCTGCTTCACAAAATTTCTGCACTGCAGCTGCTGCCACCACAATCTGTATCAGGCAGGACAAGCAGATAAGCATCCAAGATCTATATGTTTTACAAGAAGCAGTAGAAGTACTGGCAGCATCATTAATAGACTTGTGGGGGTGCAATTTATTCATTAAAATATTTACATTCAACATTTCTAAAAGATTAAAGGCAACTAACAAATGTTAAGATATGGGGAAAATACAACAGAATGGTTAAAAACAGACAATACCAACATCAAATAAATACCACTGGCCAACAATAAATTAATTTCCGTAAAAATTTCAACATGACTTCAACAGGTATATCTGTATTTAATTACGCTACCTAATCAATTAGGTCAAGGAACACCTACAGTCATCAGAATGTCCATTTACTGTAATGTCACACCTCTTGCTCCATAATTTCTGGCTGATTGTCCCATATTGTTCCTTCAGTAATGTTCCAGTTATTCCTGCCAAATGCAGGATAACTGTGTAAACGTGAATAATAGTGGACGGCAAGTCAAGTACTGAAACTGTGAACCTAAAGTACAGGTACTCAAAGATGTTTAAATGGTTAAGGGGTATAAAGGAAGATCTTGCTGCTGAAAATATGTTTAAAAACAACAAAGCATAATAAGATGTTTGTTGTTTGCTGGTTAAAAAAGGTAAAGGTTCCCTTGCTCAAAAGCCAGTCGAATCTGACTCCAGGGTTGCGGTGCTCATCTCCGTTTCAAAGCTGAAGAGCCAGCGCTGTCCGAAGACATTTCTGTGGTCATGTGGCCGGCATGGAACGCTGTTACCTTCCCACTGAAATGGTCCATAATTTTAGAGCTTGTCTGGTGACATGGAATCACTGAGGTAAGACTCTTTCTACCAATAAACACCACTGCGCAGATCATAATAATTTTGATTTAGATTAGCTTTGTGTTTTGTGTCGCGTTTGTGACGTTAAAGGTATTTTAAAATACCACCGAATTATACTGTATTTAATTTGTAATGGACATTTTAAATAATCTGATGACTGGAATGAATGATTTATTTATACTATGGATTTTTTGTGGATACCTACTTGTGTTGCAGTGTTAAATCATAATAAGTTTTTTAAAAATAAACATGACCTCAACCAAAGATCAAAGCAGCTCATAAAAAAAAACATCATTAAGACAGACTTTACACTTCCTAAGGATAGGCAACATAGGTACCCTCCAAGCTTACACCAAAAGACCATTCTAAATAACTGATGCTGGAACTGAAAAGGATCTAGAATGAATGGAGGAGAAACGAACATTTCCAGGTAGGCACAGTGAGCATTAACTGGCTAAAGGTTCATGCAGAAAGATGCGTTCCTTCAGTTAAACAGAGTGAGGGCCCAAGAGACATATGTAAAATGCTTAGGGACTCTTATGTGTGACCCTAGCTGGCAAACAATAGTAGGCTTAGTGGCATTCCTAGCTAGTTAAAATAAACAAGCCTTTTGGGGCATCTTAAATACTTCATTTGATGAAGAAGGCACTAGTCAATAAAAACTTATGCTAACATAGAAATAAAAACTTGCTGAAGCACAGCAAGACTCCTGTTTATTTTGGGGCAACAGACTAATGTGCCTTTCCCTCTGGAATTCTAGTTTGTAAAGAGATGGAAGCACTACATAGAGGAAGGGTTGGAGGATAGGTGTCCCTCACAGGATTCATGCTATGTGACCTGTAATACAACTTGATCTTGGAAAACTATGCAAGTTCAAACCTGGTGGAGGTAGTGGTGAAAAGTGCATCAAGTTGCAGCCAACCTATGGTAACTCTGTAGGGTTTTCAAGGCAACAGACGTTCAGAGGTGGTTTGCCATTGCCTGCCTCTGCATAGTGACCCTGGGCTTTCCTTGGTGCTCTTCTATCCAAGATCCTGCTTAGCTTTTGAGAGCTGATGAGATCAAGATAGCCTGGGGTTGCCAGCCCCCCAGTGGGAGCGGGGAAGCCCCTGCTTTGGATCCCCAAGCATCCCCAAGCATCCCCAAGGATCCCCAAGCATCCCCAAGCTTGGATCCCCAAGCATCGAGAATAAATCCACGTTTCAAAGAAAGTAAAGTTTATTTCAAAGCATTGGAAAGATACTCAAACACGTTCTTTGTTAGAACTGAACACAAGCAGTTAGGGCAGACATGATAAAGGGATTCAAGTTAGAAACACAACCAATGGATAACGTTCCCGCTGGCGGGCAGGAGAAAACGGTTGCCTGCTCAAGTCTTGGGAACCAGGCGAACGGTAGACAAAACACAGGTGCAGTTCACAGGCTTGGTGCAGTTCACAGGCTTGATAAGTAAGAAGCTAACAGCGAAGCATACTCTCCCCCTCACATCCTCCAGTTGTTTTACTTTGGCATTACAGCACAGAAAACACAGGGGTCAGCTGGCAGGGACAGGGATCACATATGTACAATCAGAAGTTACACAGAACACCATGGCAGCTTGCTGACATACTGCCCCCTCAAAAATACACCTTAACTGTCACCTCCCGGGCCGGGCGGGAGATCTCCCGGGCTGGGCGGGAGACCTCCCGGTTTGTCCGGGAACTTCCTGTGAAAACAACGAAGCAGGTAAGGGGCCCGAATATCCCCTTCTTCCACCCATTCGCGGTGCTGGGGACCGAAATCAACCCATTCAATGAGGTACCAGAGTTTACCACGTTTCAGCTTGGAATCAAGGATATCAGCGATTTCAAAATGCTCATCCCCCTCAAGGATGATCGGAGGCGGGGGAGAAACAGTCGGCCTCCATGTAGAGGTGCCAGGATTTTTCTTCAGTAAGCTCATGTGAAAGACAGAATGCAGAGAGCGCAAATTCTTAGGTAATAC